GTCTGGTGGTGCGGCAGAAGAAACTTCTATATCTCTTCCCAGAAGGCAGCAGGGTGAACAGGCTGTGGCTGGGTGGGTACTGTCCTTTAGTATCCTTTGGGCTCTGCAGGCACCTCACCTCACCGATATCACTGATGCTCAGGAGATGGGTACCAATGATCTTCTGAGCAGTTTTAATCACCTGCTGCAGAGCCCTCCGGTCCTGGTCCGTGCACATCCCATGCCAGTTAGTTTTCAATCAGAATGTTTTCTAGTGCTCCTCTGTAAAGCTGACAAGAACTTGGCATCGGAATTTGGCCTTTTTAAGCTGCCTTAAGAAATGCAGTCGTTTCTGAGCTTTCTTCACCAGCGTGGAGATGTGAGATGACCATGTCAGGAACCTGAAACTGTTCACATTGTTAAAAAGTGGCTCATTTCTAGAATCATTTAATTGGTGAAATCTGCAAATATCCTGTAACTAACATCGAAGTGGAATGCAGCCATTATGTTATTAGTTACACCTGTTATTAAAGGTTTTAAATGTGTGTGACTCCAGATTTTAAGAAGCATTGTTCCCAGGGCTGCTTTCTGTAACAGGTCTATTTTACAAGGTTGCACTTCACAGTCAAAATGGCAAGCAGAAGTCCCAACACCCACATGAAAGATGTGATGACATCGTAGATTATTTCAACAAATGAATCAGCCGTCACAGAGGCCAGAATGAGGAAGCTGTCTTTCACTGCAGCTGACAGAAAAAGATTCTTAATAAGTGTGTATGTGTATGTGTATGTGTATGTGTGTGTGTGTGTGTGTGTGTGTTTGTTTGCTTATTTTAGGTTAAGTGTATGGTTGGTCACTCTCATGCAAGTATTTCCGTTGGGCTTGTGCTGTTTCACAAGGGTGATTCATTAAAAGGTTAACTTCCACCAGCCTTTACCCAACAACTCTCCCCCTTCAACACATCGAGAAAACTTCTATCTACAGAAAAATGTATTTCTTTTGATTTTCATCTACCTAGAAATCACATGACAACAAAGTTCTGTAGCAGTGTTTCAGAGATGACGCTCAGCTGCAGCCTGAGGTGGCACATTGTGGTGCATGCACACACGCAAGTAGCCTGGTTTTTTATAAAAACAAAACTCTCAGACTCAGAGGAGTGTCTGCCTTGTTAAAATCCTTCAGTGCACACATGCAAAGCACATAGGCATAGGAGAACAATGTGTATAGGAACTCATTACTTTTGTTATTTTACTATGAGTCCTGGGAAACACACATTTCCTCTTCAGAAACACAGAAAACAGAACAGATAATGCTTTGAGCTGTCTCGTTTGCCTGCATGTCATTGTGTCTTTGCAGATACTCACAAAAAATTAATGAATATTTCATGTTCACAATCTTTGCCTTTGGACTGAGAATCCAGACAAAATAATACAGAACATATAAGTGACTACAATTACATGTGGCAAGCAAGAGCAGAATAGCTTTTCTTGAAATGGATATGCAAGAACACTTTGAAGTTGGGTGACAATTTCAGTCCATCAAAGTGCATGTGTGGTGTGTGGCTTTTTTTTTCTGAACTAGGTATTCAAATGCTGGATTTCCTGTGCAGTCACTCAGCAGTTAGACTTTTACCATATAGGGATGCAACTGAGAGGAGGGTTAGTGGGCAAAGGGAAGAGAAAGAAGAACTAACAAGACTCACTTCTCAAGTCCCGACATGACACAGTTCATAGTAATCAAGCCAAGTTTCTCTTTTTTAAAGGAATGTGTGCGTATACACAGTCATATATCAGGGAACCACGTGTGTTGCCTGGTTCTGCCTGTATCTGCTTGAAACACCAATCAGGCAAAAGAAACAGCAGGAATAGGGAATGAAAAGAGCAAAGAGAAGGCATCAGATAGAGATTGTAAACTGGTTTGATTACACACATAGGTTTAACCACTGTTAACCACACATTGTGGGTAGATTACTTTGTAATGTAAACTCCAACTTTGAATAAGGAAGATCTTTTCTTTCATAATCCACCTTAATGGGCGAACGCCTGCTATTTATAATCTTTACTTGCTATGTCAGTAAAAATTGTTACACACTGATCTCTCCTCATTGAGTTACTTCCCTGGTAATTGCAGTGATGTCACAAAACATAAATTATCACTCTATGATGCAAAAGTTGTAAAATCCCGTCTCATAGTATTATGACCTGCTGTGCAGTGTCTGGGCATTGGAAAGTGGTTAAATGTATGGATTAAATCTGTTAAGGTATTATCATTCCAACATTTTGGAAAAAAACATTTAAGGTCAACATGAGTTTGTAAAGAAAGTGTAAACTGGGAAGCAGCAGCTGAACTGTACATTTATGTTCAGTTCTTTCACTTTTATAATGACCTTTCTCTGTGACTTGCAGATACATTTGCACTCACCTTCTCAGTTTCAACCACTTATAATTGGAACTAAAAGGTGGAGTTATTTTGGGTCTTATTTTGAATCTCTCCCTCTCTGATTTTGTTTACATATTTTTAATCTCACAAGGAGCAAATGTTTTGCTTGTGCATGAGCACAATTTATCATATCATATTAAGTCCTTTCAAAATACTGCCAATAGGCCTATGTACTACACAATGCTTTTTTACTTTTAGCTTGAATATAACAAGACAAACCTCTACTAGAATTCATCAATACTAACAGTAACATCTTGCATCATATTGCAGACTCTGCAGTCATAAGGATTTTATTTAAACTGAGTAGCATCAGTGCAAAGAGTTTGATCATTTACTTATATCCTGTGTGTTTACATGATGATCTGGCAGGGATTAAATGCTTCAGTGCCTGCAGCACTCCTTAAATGTCTCAGCTTACAGTGGTGGAAGAAGTGAAAATACTCCACTACAAGTAAAACTCCTGCATTCAAAAGCTTTCTTAAGTAAAAGTATCAAGCAAAATGTACATAAAGTATCAAAAGTAAAAGTATTCATTCTGGTCCCTGTCAGTGTTTTACTATTTATTTTATGTTTATTTGTATGGCGCCATTTCATGACAGAAGTAATCTAATTGCACTTTTCATATAGAGCAGATCTAGACTGTAGACCCAACAATTCCCAACATGAGCAAACACTTGGCCACTATGGCACCTCCGAACACACAGTAGCACAATGCAAGTTCCCCATACAGATGTAAAGTAAAAGTAATGGCAGTGTCAATACTAAAAAATATGACTATTAATAAGTAGTGTAGCAGCAGGTATTGAACATGGGGACAACAGGTGGCCCTATATGATGTTTTTTTTTACTGCTGCTGATTACTGCTGCATTAATGTGTATGTTGCATTTTACTGCTGTAGTTGTGTTCATTGTAGCTACTTGATACATTGTTGGGTAGTTTAATCTACAGCAATGCATCATATTCTGTAAGATCATCACATGTTTGTACCATCGCTGTACGGTGAGAACCATGTACCTCAAAAAAGTCAAATTTTCATGAGCTCAGAAAAACAGTCTTGTTTTAAGCTTTGTGATGACGCATTTTCCAGTTGATCAAAGTTTTTTTCATATATATATATATACTTAATTTAGCTTAGCGTGTTGTAGGATAATTTCCTAAGCCCATAAAAGAACACTTCATCCTTCTGTTTATTAGAAACATTGATATTCAAAACCACCAAATTTGGAGATAAATGCTTTTCACTGGACAGGAAGGATGTGACAGTGTGTAATCTGAAAAGTAACTAAAGCTGTCAGACAAATGTAGTGGATTAAAAAGTGAGATGTAGTGGAGTAGAACAATAAAGTTGTATAAAATGGAAATACTTAAATAAGTACCTTCCACCATTCTCAGCTTGTAGCACTGGTGAGTTGGAGACTCTGTAGGAACAAGTTGCCCACCGCTAAGCTACATAAGTTTCAACACGCTTATAGGCCTACATACAGTAAGAACAGGGAGAACACCTTACAATGTTGGTGATTCAGCACTGTTGAAACTGATACATTGACTCACTGTTTGTAGGGTCTAGACTAGCAGTTAATGATTCATCAATGGTATCCTGTTTACATCAATCTGTTTAGGCTACTTGACGTGGGCAGATGGCTGCATCTCACCTACACATTCGGCGGTGCGTCCACTGTCCTACAACACTTAATTACAACGCAACACACCCAGCCCAGTGCGCTCACACAGTCAGCCTCATGCCCTTAAAAGGCGTTTTTCAACTGCCTGCTGTTTCCTCAGAGGGCTCTGCCTCTCTTCAGTTACTCCTGTGCAGCCTCAACTGGTGAAAGTGGGGATAGGACTCTGAAATTACACTTCCTCCTCATTTTACTGTAGGAGGTTTTCTACATTTGTAGTTTAGTTTGCGTATATAATTTGTGTGTTTGCACGCGCAATGAGTTAATGGGATCAAATATATAGGCCTAATTAGGTAAGGGAAGGTCAGTGATGTCATCGCAATCTGTTTAGATTTATTTTCTGGAAACCCATATGAATATGTTGATGGCAAAAAGGTGGGAAGTCAGTGCTGGACTAGCCACTAACACTTCCCTTCAGTGTGATTAATGCCTTAAGAATGTAAGGCCTATAAAACCTATAAAATAATTAATTTCCTAAATGTTACTTCCAATAGTTTAAAGTATCAGTGTGTACTGTGATAAGATACTGGTAATACAAACGAGTAAAGTTCCAATTTCTTTAAGCTCTAACTAATAATTTTAATTATTAGTAAGACTGCTCTCTATGAATTCATGCATTTCATGACAATGAAAGCCTAATTACTGTCTGTGTGCCTTTCTGTTCAGTGCCTGGATGTCTGACTTTGTGGTTTAATGCTGCACGGGCACCAATAATTAAATTAGCTACGTCTAAACAAACAAACAAACAAACAAATACCACCTAGTGTGTTTATGAACATACCCCTACTAGACAACGGTCTATTGTTCCCGCCTCCCGATGTCATGGACCAGTCACAATGAAGCAGGTGAACGATTGGCTCTTGTGATTGGCTCCAATCTGCGTCAGCACCAGGAAGTTTACATTTGGCTGTCACTACATGCACGATGGAAAGCTTAGCTGTTGGTCTTTAAAAGGTTAGCGGCACACAGACCCTTTTCGAGTTAAGTTGCCTAGCTTTGAGAACATATAGTATGACATACATTACGTAAGTGACAAAGTGTTTCATTTTGTCTGCAGCCATTTGCGTAGGAGATACAAACGAAGGAACGTGCTAGCTAGCGTTAGCTAATCAATCCAGGTCCTTAAGACGAAAATGTTTTGTTATTTACCATCTGTAGGCTAGCTGTATTATTAAATTCTGATTTAAAATGTTTCATTGATTATTAGCAAGGGTCAACATCGCGTAGAATGGGACGGATCTTAAACAAAACAGGGTGCAGCAACACTTGGCAAAATGTAATTTAACACAACATTGCAAAACAATTGTCGTGGACGACTTACAGAATTTAAGTTGTGGGTGAGCCCTAGAATAGAGTTGAGATACATCGTTACTATAAAAATACACTGTTCAGGCAGCAGATGAAATGAAACAGGTGCCGAAGCTAACTTACTCCCCTGATCACTGGTTCCCGATTTGGGACCCTCCACGGGGTCACACGATACATCTGAGGGGTCACAAGAATTAAGAAAAGAAAGACACAGGCACAGATGTTTTTAAAAAATAAAACTGATTGATTAAAAAATATATTTCCTTGTTAAACACTGAACCTTCCTCTCTTCAACCTATAAAAATTACACTATTGGAAAAGATACACTGAAGCAATAACCTGTGATGGGGGGGTCACAAGTTGACATTGCTTCATTTTAAGGGGTCATTCCAGAAATGGTTGGGAGCCACTGCCCTAGATTCTGAAAAATGAATCAGTTCAGTAGAGACGACAGGACATTTTGACAATCTGCTGTATTCAGTTGGAAATGATATGTCAAACCTCTATGAGCCAACAAAGTCAGTCACTAACTGAGTGTCAAACTCAAAGTGATTCATGATATCTTAATTTTAAGGCCTGACAATGTGAGTTCCATTAGTAGTATCTCACTTTGAATATACTGTCTGAAAGCAGTATAGCACAATATAGTATTTGTTTTAGGGTGGGTTTCTCCTTTAATTGTAGCTGACTGTATTTAAACATAATGACTGGTGTGTGTGTCCTGCCATACTGTGTCGGACTGCAGAGCAACATGGGTAACACAGAGAGTGTGGTCGTGCAGAAGCGGCTGGCCCGCTTCCGCCCTGAAGAGCGGCCTGTGGTTGAGGGGGTTTTCGATAGGCTCCAGGGTGGTGCTGGGGGCCCTTCAGGAGCTCAGGGGAAAACACCAGCGGGGAAGACTCTAACGCTTGAGATGCTGCAGGTGTGACTGTGAACACATATTGTCAATGTGAGATTACAAGTTAATGCATAACCAGATAAAACTATTCTCTATTTATTTAGATAGAGTTATTCTTCTTTCTAGTTTGATGTAGTATCACAGATTACTTTAATCCTATACCTACAGACGGTTTATAAATATATAGAAATATACTGTGTTTCTTTAACTTTGAATATATTTTATGCTGTTGTTCCGCTGAGCATATGTTATAATCCAATGTATTATATCAGTGCATCTGTCAGGGAAAGGTAGTTTCTGCCAGGGTTTGTCTGTGGATCATCAACCCCTCCTTTTGTCTCTCCTAGTCTTCAATGGGCAGCCTGGCCCCAGACTCCATGGTGAGAAGGGTCTACCAGTGCATGTGTCAAATCGACCCTGGACCGGCAGCACCTGCAGTTTCTGGGAAGACCAGAACCTCTGCTGTCTCTGGGGTAGGTCGAGAGCAATTGGTCATCTTCCTAGCAGACACCCTGCGAGGCACTGCAGAAGAACGGGCTCCTCTCGCCATGGCCATGTCCCAGAATGGAGTGGGAGAATCAGCAGCGGTTGTCACATGTGAACAGGTAGCTGAGGTGAGTAGAGGGTAAAATTAAATAGTGGTATTTCACTTCTTATCTACTTTTTCTGTTGACACAACCCTACCTTTTCACTTCTCCGGCTTTTTCCCCTTTCTCCATAGTTCCTACAGGACCTGATTTCTGCTGTGGTTCAGATTCTTCTCAGCAGAGGGCGTCTGCAGGGCTGGAAACCAGAGAGAATGGGTGATTGCTCCCTGGGTGTGAAACTCCTGGCAGAGCAGATGTGTTCTGAACTCAAACCCTCAGGTAAACAGGTGACAGCAAGGAAACGTGACTGTAGATGCTCCCCCCTCTCCTCTGCTCTCCTTTCTTCACCCTGTTTTACTCCTCAGATCAGGGAGGTTGTGATGTTGCCTGTCTGGAGGACTGGATCTTCAGGGTCTCCCAGGTATCGTTGTACTTGGAGATGCTGGTAGCTGAGGGCCTAAATGTGTCCCTGAGTGGCCGGTGGGCCTCCACCCTGCTGCCCCCCTGCAGGGAGACTCCCTGGAAAGAGCTGAGGTGTCTACTGGACCTTCCCACCCTCATGTTTCTGACACCACAGGTCAGAATAAAAATGTATACATCATCATGTTGGTAGAGTTGGACCAAAAGTTGTTTACTTTCTTTGGTTTGACCACACTTTTGGTGAAAGTTCAAAACCATAGATTAACTGATTTTTTTAATGTTTAAAAGTTAAAAAATTAAAAACATTTAGACACTCGTTGTAGCACCACCATCAGGAGCATTGTCCCCATGTTAGGACTGCAACTTCAACCATCATTTTCATTGTTGATTATTTCCTTGATTAATTGTTTGGTCTATGGACCAATGTCAGAAAATGGTGAAAAATGGCAGTTAGCATACGTCCACAAATGTCTTGTTTTGTCCACAACCCAAAAAACATTCATTTTAATGTCCTAGAGAAGGAAAAAAAAAATCACATTTAAGAAGCCGGAATCAGAAAATTTTCTTTTGTTTCTTAAAAAATGACTCAAACAGATTAATCAATTTGCAAAATAGTTGGTTATTAATTTAATAGTTGACAAGTTATTGGTTAATCATTGCAGCTCTAGTTCCAGTATACATCATTTGCAGTGCTTAATTTGTAAATAAATAGATGTCGGTCGGACCTTTTGAAATGTTCCGCCCACTGAAAATAAATAATTAATGTTTTATGATCAAATAATTAATTATTTAAACACATTGCGTAGCCTACCTGCACATTCTTTTAAAGGACGAACAGAAACCATTATTTGCTATATACGCATAACATAAACAACAATTATCCCTAACATTTGTTATATTGAGACCATGCCAAGATACCGTGACATAATGCAGTTTAAAAATAAACTTTGTTATTGTTCTAAATAGTACAAAAGTACAACAAAGTATATTAAAGTTTTAATAAATAAGAGTCAAATGTATAAAACTACAGAAAACATTTTAAATATCTGATTTATTATAAATTACAGAGTACTACTACTAATGAACATTAAATCTTTATTGTTTATCTTTATTTATTAATCTAAATCTTTATTCTCTTATTTTGTATTGTTTTTGTATTATTGTCTCTTGGGTATTATTGTCTTTACACTTGTTAAAGCACTTTGTAACTTGTTTTAATCTAACACTATCAGAAATGACTGACTACTGTCAGAAATGGTTAAACCAGAGGGGACTTGTGAATAAACGTGTTATTCACAAGTCCCCTCTGGTTTAACTGGTTTAACCATTTCTGACACTACAGTTTAATCATTAGAACTGCCAAACTCTTCCGTAACATTAAACACACTGCTGAGCCTGGAGATGGCAGTGAAAAAGGGAGGGTTATCAAGTCTGGTCTCCGAAGATGAAAAGTGATGATGGCTATTTTTATTAATAATTCAAATTAGCTTTACTGGCATGAATGTAATAACAACAACAACAAGATTTTATTTGTGTAGAATGGCAGTGCAGTGACGGACTGTACTTTAGAGGTGCCAGAGCGCAAAAGGCTTAAACTCAGAGGTACTGGAGTGGCGCTCCAGCTAGCTCCGGCACAAATTAAGCAATGATTATTTGGGGATTGAACGGATGCTGTGTAACATTTTCTTACTTTTTATTGAAGGCAATATAAGTAAGAAGAAAGAAAGAGACAACAGAAAAAGTTAAAATAAAAGAATGGAAATGCAAGAAAGAAAGAATGACCTTCCAGCCCACTAGGCTTAGTCGTCTAATAATATCCTACCCTGCCTAACCGCATTACTGACATCAAAACCAGCAAGTATACCACCACCTCATATGCCATAACATTGTGGTGGAAGATACAGTAAAGGAAGTACAGCCCTATTATAACCCTCTGTTCTGTTTTTTGGCATCTAAGTATCCTTTTAATTCGTGGATCTGTTGTTCAAAATGGACTTCTGGATAGTGTTTCAAGTTTCCCATGTACCTAAAAGCAACACACCCCCACCAGCGCAGCTCCCTGTTTGCAGGCAGAACTGTATCTTTCCCTAACCTTAACCAAAGTGCTTTTTTTGTTACTGTTTTAGACAGTAACCCATGGGTTCTTTTTAAAACCTTTTTTGCCATTCTGCTTCATCTGAAGCACTCTGAAAACACGTGTGATGAGGGATGGTTCACATCAGCTTGTGAATAGATGAGTGTCCGTAACCAACATTTTTCAGGTGTATTGTATGGAAAGAGGCACACCTAACCCCTGACTTGTACTTACTTTTTAGAGGTTATTTGTGAAGAGGTTCACATGTACTATTTCAGAGTAGGATTTTCAGTATTGAGATAATTTAATAAATATGCCAATTTGGGAATAATATTTGAGAGTGTATTTGTCTATTATAGTTCGTTTGATGAAGAACAGACTCGAAAACGTCTCTGATTTTACGAATGACTGAAGTTCCACAGAAAGCAACATGGAATGCAACATACTAGGCTCATTATTTAGTGAGCGTAAAATGAGGTTTACCTTTCACACAGTTTCTCTTGACTGTCCCTGAATATTACGTTACATCTGTAGTGCCCAATCCGTACTGCCTGCCGGATCCGTTCTGCACATGCGCAAAAGTGGTCCTGTCTGTCAAAGAAGGTTACCACAAATGTGCCTGTTAATAGGGATCCTGCAGGCAGCACGGATTTGGTACCTACAACAACATTAGTCCAACATCTCCAAACCTGTTAGCCACATTAGCCGTGCAATATGCTAACTCCAAGTTAGCTAACCTACTAAATAAATAATAAAATTACACACAAACCGGCAACATTTACAGCTCGCAAGTCTGTAAATGGCGAGTCTGTTTCTGACAGCTTGGTCAGAAACATGCACACCAGTAGCCTGCTGGAGTTCATTTTGTAAGGCTCTGGCAGTGCTTCTGCTTTTCCTCCTTACACGAAGGAGCAGCTCTATTAGGGTAGTGGCCCATCTTCGGTATCTCCTCCATGTTATTGAAACTGTGCTGGAAGACACAGCAAACCTTGCTACAACACGTTTGGATGTGCCCTCCTGGAGGAGTTGGTCCAGCTGTGCAACCTGCATGGGCTGGAGGTACCACCTCATGCTACCAGTAGTGACAAGGACACTAGCAAAATGCAATATTAGAGAACAATCAGCCAGGAAAGATAAGGAGTGAACAATTTTCTGTGGCCGCCACCTGCAAAACCATTCCCTTTTTGGGGGGGAACTAACAGCACTGAGAGCATTGAATCAGGTTGAATTGCATGAACTAGAAACCCAGTGGCAGAGGAACAGGTTGTTCAGCAATGTGATCAGTTCCACCTGCCTTATTGTCATCTAGTTTTATTATAACTTAAGACAGCTCATCAGACGTCACTATCACCCCCTCAGTAACAATAAAAGTAAACCTGCACATAATTAATCAAGTCATAATATTAATGTTTAACTTCATTATTATCAGGTGGTAAATGAGTTTTACTGTTATTCCTAGTTTTGACCACACTGTTAATCTCTCCAGTTGCCAGACAGCTACAGTGCCCCCTGGAGACTTGTGTTTTCCACACGGCTGCATGGGGAGAGCTTCACCAGGATGGTGGCCGGCCTGACCAAGCGTGGGCCCACCCTGCTACTCATTAAAGACACAAAGGGACATGTGTTTGGGGGCTTTGCCTCCCACGCCTGGGAGGTCAAACCTCAGTTCCAGGGTGAGAGAAGCATTGTCATATTGCATGACTTCTGGACTTAGATGTAATTTGCCATTTGATGAATGCCATCTCTGGTTTATCAGCTGCCTTCAACAATTGTACAGAGCAAGCGACCCAGTGTTACCCAGTGTTTGAAATACTATGCTTGGTACAAAATATAACATGTATTTTAATAAAACAAACACAAAGTTATAGTATAGTTTTAGTTTTGATTATTGTCATTATTGGTATAGCTGATACCTAGGAAACTAAGCTTCTCCTAACACAAGCTATGGTTAGGCAACAGCTAACCAATGATAGCTTGATATCGAGAGTTACCAACCAAAAGTGCACCTTCATACTTTTAATTAATTTGCCACCATGTTGACATAATACATCTGCATTGGCCTTTGGGTTAAGAAAAATTTTGTCCAAGCGTCAGACATGAAATAATTTCTTCAGTTTATTTCTCCTAAAGACATTTTTCACAGCAGACATTTATTGCCCAGGGAAGACACAGGTCAAATGAATGATATTAATGATGGCTCAGTTACACTTAGGTGCATCCGTCTTCTAGTGGGCACATTATCAATGCACTGGCACTGGAATATCTGAATATAAAGTACAGTGAGGAGAACAAATATTTGATACACTGCAGTTTTTGCAGGTTTTCCTACTTACAAAGCATGTAGAGGTCTGTCATTTTTATCATAGGTACACTTTAACTGTGAGAGACGGAATCTAAAACAAAAATCCAGAAAATCACATGATCACAAATAATGAATTTGCATTTTATTGCATGACATAAGTATTTGATCACCTACCAACCAGTAAGAATTATGGCTCTGACAGACCTGTTAGTTCTTCTTTAAGTAGCCCTCCTGTTCTCCACTCATTACCTGTATTAACTGCACTTGTCTGAACTCATTACCTGTATAAAAGACACCTGTCCACACACTCAGTCAAACAGACTTTGCTTTTCTGCAAAGGGGACAGGACGACTGCACCGTATTGAGGGGAGGATGGATGGGGCCATGTATCGCGAGATCTTGGCCAACAACCTCCTTCCCTCAGTTAGAGCATTGAAGATGGGTCGTGGCTGGGTCTTCCAGCATGACAATGACCCGAAACACACAGCCAGGGCAACTAAGGAGTAGCTCCGTAAGAAGCATCTGAAGGTCCTGGAGTGGCCTAGCCAGTCTCCAGACCTGAACCCAATAGAAAATCTTTGGATGGACCTGAAAGTCCATATTGCCCAGCGACAGCCCCGAAACCTGAAGGATCTGGAGATGGTCTGTATGGAGGATTGGGCAGTGTATCAAATACTTGTTCTCCCCACCGTATCTGATAGTGTCAAGACCTTCAGTTCCTCGAATGGCCGCTTGAGGCTGGCTTCAAAATCAAGTTAATTTCCATAGAGCACCATGTTAAAATGCCCAACTTTACAGATGAATTAATATATTTACAGCCTGATAGAAAAAGGGTGTGGTGTCTATATCTAATTTCCCCATCCATGAACACTGTGTGGGGGAATTTTCATATAACTCGCCTGTTTAAATTATATTTATACATTTCTGTAGTTCTCTAATAGGGGTGACATCATCAAAACTGATCTATCTGAAAGAGCAGACTGTATTGTGGGCTGAGGTCAGCATTTCAGTGAGCTGGATTTAGATTTTTTGCTTTGCCTGCTAAGGTCACAGTTTCAGACTGCTGGAAAGTAGGAATATGCAGAATCAGAAAATGTGATACTGTGATTCAGTTATGTGTTTATTGCTTATTTATTTAGGTTTTGTATGTTTGAAAACATGTTGTTCATGTAAATGTCACTTCATTTTTTAATGTTGTGAAAACTATTGTAAAACACACATAAAACTACCTGAGTTATCAAAATTTACAGCTGAATTCAAATTTAACAGCAGTTGGAGTGTTTGAGTGATTCTGTACTGCTGAATAAAGAACAGAGGTGATTTGAACAATAACTTATACCTCATGATGACAACGCTTCATAGACCTCACAGGAGTCAAGTGTGTTGTCTCTGATAGATAACCGTGAATTTAGACTTCTAAATCCATAATGCTGTGATAGAAAAATACCATCACATTAGCGTTGAGACCCCAGTGCTTTAATATCAAGACTGATACTGATTAAAAAAAAGGGCATATTGAGGAAGTAATACTACTTGTTTGAATACTGTGGGCTGTCACTTGATTTTTCGCTCTGATCTTCAGAATTTGTATATTTGTGTGTGTGTGCAGGTGACTCCAGATGCTTCCTGTTCACTGTGTTCCCCAGACTGAGAGTTTATACAGCAACAGGATACAACCAACATTTCATGTACCTCAACCAGAACCAGCAGACCATGCCCAACGGACTGGTGAGGCTGCACTAGTTTAACAGAGGAGAACTGACCGAGCTTAAAATATAAATCCTTTAATCTAAATATTGTTTTGTAGATGCCGGATTGGGTTGTGTCATTTTACAAGGTTTCTGATTTAGGGGACAGATAAAAACCGCCAACAGCCAACCAGTGCCGATCCAGTGATATTTATTACATCCGGTATTTAATGTATAACCTACGCATTCACTTGTCACAGTAGGAGAACAGCAATATAAAAAACAGTGAACAAAAAGGGTAAAGTTCAGCCAAGTGGTGTTGTAATAATCAGCTAAAATGCTTTATGCTGTAATCAGAATGTTTTATTCACAATGGATAAATAACTGTGTCTGATTGTATTGACAAACTTGCACAGAATTATCACCGATGAGCAGCCTGCAACTCTGCTCTCATCAGTGTCATTTGCAGCATTTTTTGGCATCAGAATGCTCCAATTTTACTGTAAGTTTGATTTCACAGAATGTTTGTGGTATTAAATAGAAGAAATATTGTTTCCTCTTTAGGGAAAAATACATTTACATGGTTGTCTGCATTCCCACTGTGTCCCTTAGAGTGTGTTTTCTGGCCTTCATTAGGGTATGGGCGGTCAGCATGGCTACTTTGGCCTATGGCTGGACAGTGATTTTGGCCGTGGTCATAGCCGCGCACGGCCCAAGTGCACCACCTACGGCAGCCCTCAACTCTCTGGAGAGGAGGACTTCACCCTGGACTCAATGGAAGTGTGGGCGGTCGGAAAACCCCCAGAACCGGAGGTCAGAGTACTTGCTCTTGTTTTCTTTTTTCTGTTCTTTTTTTGCCTTTATTTGATAGTAGGCACAGAGGGAGTGGGTTTCCAATTCTTCAGTTGAATGGGGTGGAAGAAAGATGTGGGAATGAAAGAGGGAGACAGATGTAGGCGCAGCCACAGGTGTTGCATTTTCATGCCTTTTATTTCTATACAGTCATATTTGTATGCAGGTACATAACTTTCAAGTCTGTTTTTTTCTTCTTCTTCAGATGTGAAATGGTGCTGAATTTAAGTGCTTCTTGAGAACTCCTGCTTAAGAGTTGGGGCATTGCAATTACAACTTGTCACACGCTGAAATCCATCCAGTAGAATTATGGCAGTTTTAAAAGTTAGGCAGAGGACATTGAACATTCTGTTTAATTCATTTTTATTTATATAGCACCAATTCATAACAGAAGTTATCTCCTTGCACTTTTCATACAGAGCATCTGCATCTAGACCATACTCTTAATACTCCCGAATGTAAATGCACATCATGCATGTAATTAACTGTAGCAACTGTACCACAAATAGAGAACCTCATTTATATTCCTGCTTTTTATGTTATGCAGCTGTTTCCTTTAAAATGTCAAAAATTAAAGCGGTGGTATTTCTGTATGTTTTGTGTTTCAGGGCGAGGAGGGAGAGGCCAAGAAAAGTATCCTGGATGTGGATCCGGAAATCCAGGCCATGATGGAGATTGCAGGGAAGACTATGCACAGTCAAGGCCTCAGGGAACCGGAGGAGGACCAGGAGCAGTGAGGGGCAACTGGGCGATAGACAAAAACAATCTCACCACCTGGCACTGACACAAGTCTTTACAAGACTTTAAGACTTGTCTTCAATATGTTAAAGACAGCGTTAACTGTGGAAGATGTTATCAAAACATAAACCAAGTAACAAAGCTTAACTAGGTCAAAAGGCAGCTGATATGTAAAATCTGATCTTACCCTTTCACACACAACTGATGGCCGATAGTGTGCTTCAAGCCAGCTTTCATCTTCGGTTTGAAGGGGACTGTCGTGGAAATTATATTCCAATTTGTCATGGCTGTGTTGTTTTTTCTACCAAGATACACTGGTATTTCAATGAATATTTTAGAAATATCACAAGAGAGAGAAGAGGCAGCAGAATTAGTGTCTTCACCAGAAGTAGCCTCAGTCAGCCAGAATGCATCGATATATCTAGCACTACCTGAAGTATTAGGTTGAAGAAAGGGAGCACAACAAAACAATAAGTTACACCATTAATAATTGTGTATAGTAAAATATGTAAAAAAAATGCTTGCTATTTTCCTGAAGGTCTGGGTTTGAAGTAGATCGTCAACCCATTTTAATAAAAGTATAAGTGAATTGTTGTGTGACAGATTATTTATTACAGGATTAAAAAAGCTGTAAATTTAGGAGACATTATCTGACACGAGCCTGTTAGTCAGTCTCTCTCTAGATGGTTCTTCTTCTGAGCCATTCTATTTATGTGTGAACATGTCAAGATCCTTCATAAGTGGTTTAACTATCTGAGACGTTTCGAATGCAAGAAGATATATTGACTGTTGAAGTACCATGGATTCTAAATACTTCATCCCTTCTCAAACTGAACGCTATGGATACGCTTCAGAAGTACAAGAGAAGCTTCTTCTGGCTGCTCATTTATCCAGACTTGATGCGCCTCAGGATTTCTTTTAATTTTGTTTTATTTCTTTTTCGATCGGCGTCAGTGGCTTGTCCACCCACATCATGACGCAGACATTCGATGTCAAATGTTTTATGATAATAGACCTGGATCGTCCATGCAGATGTGATACTGTGCATTATGTTGTTTTTTTTATTTTTAAGTCCATGATTTTTGAAAATACTGTAAAACATCAGGCGAAGTGGCATTGGTAGGTGTTAATTTCATTAAACTCCAGTAGAAGAGCAGTGTTGAGCTTCAAAGTGACTTAAAGCAAGATGCACCTGTAGCACCAGGTGTAGCACGACAACAACTAATGAATTAACAGACATGCCGTTGTATGGTCATTTTGTAATGTTGTACATTTAGAAACATGCCTCTTACTATAATTTCATAGAATATAGTGTTTGAAGTTGATGTAGGAGATTCTGTGTGTGTGTGTGTGTGTGTGTGTGTGTAGTGAATACATTATTGTATTAAAGTAAGAGGGCGCCTGGAGGTTGCACCTACTTTTACTTGTGTGTCTTCATTTGATTATCTCTGACTTTGTAAACTGCTGTCGTAAATATAAATGTCAAAATCTGCACTTTGACATCTTGAGTGTACCAATATAAACACCTCCTCAGAGATTGAAAGGCAACTCTGTTCATTCCCCCCTCCTCCGCTTCTGTTCTGCTATCATGCAAATTACTGAGGCAAGTTACACATGCAAATCTGTTCTATAATCTTACAGCAATTCACACAGTGACATGAAGGACATGGTTACAGAAAGAATTCTGTCTTCATATTTGTGTATGTAAAGTATTTTAAAGTATTAGTTTATTCTCCGGAATGAAGATATTTTGAGCCTCAGGATAATGTCATTATATGGTCTTTATTACAACCGCCCCCAGCTTGATAAAATGCTGTTTAAAACAACATGTGTATGTGGATTGTCACCCTTTGTTCCTTATATCATTCAAACAATCAATCAATAAATCAGTCAAACTTTACTTATATAGCATCTTTCATACAGGTTAGGGTAGTTCACAGTTCTTTACAAGCCTATGACATAGCTACCATCTTGTTGTTAAGAATATACTGTAAGCCGTAAAACAATGGAAGACCAATTCACAGATTTCATGCATTACATAACTATATATTTTTCCATTTAAAATGACTTTATTTCCCTCTTCCTTTTTCTGCCATTCATGCACATATTTGCATAGTTCCAGTGATGGGGCTATATTTTCCATTATCTTCAGTGGTTGGGTTTGCTCAACCTTTACGTGATTTCAGTCTTAGTTGATGTTTTTCAAAATCTTTCTCAACCTTTTCACATGTCAGAGACCCCCAACGGTTCTATAATCAAATTCTAAAGCAGTGGATCCCCACCATTTTTGTTTTGTGGTCCTGTTAAAGTACTGGCAAACAGAGAGCAGACAGTGGTGGAATGTATCTAATTACATTTAATCAAAAACTAAAATAGCATTCCAAAATATAATATAGGCCTATAATAATAAAACTCAGAAAGGGACCATTCTGCAGCATTACAAGTAATAATAATAATGATAAGTCCTTGGTGGTAGTACTTCATAGTATATGGATCTGAATATTGCACCTATAACAGATTAGACCAAAAACATATTCTTCCGTGTTTTCTGGGATTGTTTCAAGTGAATAGAATAATTCTTAGTCCTCTAAGGACCCTCCGGACCACCTTAACGGATAATTCGGAGTCCTTGCCCGCTTTAAGAGCCATCTCTAATCTAGTTCTGTCTTGGGTTTGAGGTGGCGCATCTTTCGCCGCGTCCTCGAGCTTCCCTCAGCATGAGAAGGGACTTTGAGCAGATTTTCACTCGTCTTTCATTTATATAGCTCGGTCCCAAACATTTATTTAAAGAAATATTTTCCCCCACATCCTGGCAGGTCAAAGCGCTCACATGTCCTCTCTTCCGATGGGACTTGGGTAGTTTGCATAGATAGCCTACCGTCCTTGCTTCCGGCCCTTTTTTTTTTTTTTTTATAACTTGTGGGCTATGCTTGTTGCAATGTAATGCAAGTTAACTTTTACTTCCTTGTACACACAGATAGAGGAACTGACCGTTTTGCGTCTGGCCTTTTTTGTCAACACTCTACATCCTCTCCAGCTTCATTTCATAACTTTCAAATCATGATCAGATAGAAAACAAGCGGGCCACGGTGTCGAGCTGAATATAATCGATTTCACTTGTAAGGTAAGTCTTCAACTTTCCTACACTCTTTTTAATCCCGTTAACTGCCCGTGGTTTGACAGAGTTAAGTTAGACGAGGGGAAATCCGCTTTTTACTGGCAGCATATCTGCCGGGCTGCAGATGTGTGACCAGGCTGCAGCTCACAGCGGAGTCAGTCCCGAACCTTGTCAGACCGGGCACCCCGGCTGCACACAGACAGAAACCGGTGTGCTGCATTCTCCATTGAATTTAGATTGTCCTTTGTTATAGCTGAGTAATGAGTATGGTTACTGGGTTATACAGGTGGCTCTGGAGTAGGCTGTTAAAAAATAATAGGTTTATAGGCCTACAGCAGAACCAAGTGCAGTAAGTTATGGTGACACAATTATGTAGCTTTTGCCAATCCTTGTGTCACCATATACAAAGTTATAAAGAAATTTTTTTATTTATTATTTGGCTGTTTATATTATTATTATGATTTGAACAAAAATGATGATGTGAATCCAAAGGGACCGCCTAAATTGTTGATTTGGGGACGCTTTCTAAAGAAAAGCCTAAGTTGCACTACCTACAGCATAAATTTAATTAAATGTGTTAACATACCAGTAGGCTACAGTACCAATAGATATGACTACAAAGGAACACAATGTGAAGTTAGGGTACAATGGGACCCTAAAAATAATCCATCCTGTAGGAATTTTGGAACTATAACAGGTAGACTATATTAAATGATAGGCCCAGTATGACCTACTGAGCAACAGGCTGGCTTTTGGAAGGATTTTAAAGATTTTACTGTAGGTTTTTTAACTACCAAGTAGCCTACCTGATCTAACAGGTGGCACACAGAATGATCAATAATGGACAACAAAGCTGGATGTTTTGGGGGGAGATGGGGTAATGAGTTGTAGAAGGCTACTGTGATTTATTTCAAAATAATGCTACTTACCAACACTGGAGGGGTACACACAATAACGAAAAGAGGATAGGCTATATATAGGCTATATGTAAATTACATTGTTCCCTTTTTTGTTAGGTTTGGGGGTACTTACTAATTAACTCCAGGCTACATTAGTGCTTGTACTTTGACACAAACAGAGGTCCAGGGAAAAGACTTTTGTCAGGAACATAGCCTAGGCCTAGGCAAGGCAAGTTTATTTGGATGCACATTTCAACAACAAGGCAATTCAAAGTGCTTTACATCAAACATAAAAGCAACATAGGGAAACTGAAAACACAGAAAATAAAAAGAAATAAAAACAGGATAAAATATATTTTATAGAGTTAAATAGGAAATAAAAACAGGGTAAAACAGGACAGTAAAAGTCACAATGCCGTGTAAAAAAGACAATTTAAAAGAACTGACAGTTTCAGCAGACCTCCAGGTTTCTGGGTTTGTTCCAGATATATGGACCATAAAAACTGAACACTGCTTCTCCTTGTTTAGTTTTGACTCTGGGGACAGAAAGCAGACCTGCCCCAGACGACCTGAGAGGTCTGGATGGTTCAGAAGAACAAAGCAGAAGATCAGAAATGTATTTTGGCCCTAAACCATTTAGTGCTTTATAAACTAACAGCAGGATTTTGAAATCAATTCTTTGACATACAGGAAGCCAATGTAAAGACCTCAAAACTGGAGCAATCACTTTCTTGGTCTTAGTGAGGACTCGAGCAGCAGCGTTCTGAATCAGCTGCAGCTGTCTGATGGATTTCTTAGGGAGTCCTGTAAGGACACTGTTACAGTAGTCAAGTCGACTAAAGATAAATGCATGAACAAGTTTTTCCAGGTCCTGCTGAGACATAAGTCCTTTAACCCATGAAATATTCTTCAGGTGATAGTAGGCTGACTTTGTTATTGTCTTAATGTGGCTCAAATTCAGGTCTGAGTCCATGACTACACCAAGATTTCTGGCTTGGTATGTGGTCCTCAACATTACCGATTGAAGCTGAGCACTGACTTTTAAAGCCTGTATGTTACTGTATAAATTGTTATACTTGTGTACAAATTGTACTTATAGGAGACTTTAGAAGCCTGAGGTGGTAGGGTTTATGTGGATTGACATTGTTATTACAGAGTGCTGTACATTGTTGTTATGGTATGAAGTGAAGAAAAAAATAAGAATATGTAATATAATATATATATATAATATAATATATATATATATATATATATATATATATATACATATATATATATATATATATATATATATATATATATATATATATATATATATATATATATATATATACACACACATATATACACACACATATACATATATATATATACACACACACATATATACACACACACACAGTATGTCTTCAAACTCTTGGAGGTAGAGCTGTTCATCCAGTGGCAATGTATAGATCATTTCCACATGTGTTATTGGAACTAGCTTGTCTAGTGTTAGCCTGCAGTGAGGTGTTTGGTGAAACTGGGGGAATATGACCTCTGCTTTAATTTGCAGGTGAACTTGCCATTAGAATTCTGTTAAAGCTGTATTATGAACCTTTTGGCCATTAGAAGGCAGAATTCCACAACAAACCGGCAGACACACAATCCCTGACACATTTATCGCCTCATAATGTTGGTATCACTAACAGTAGCTAGTGACCTACTTACACATGCAGTAGGCAAAGAGCAATATAGTATTCATTCATTCAGTCACGTTTCACCTGATTAATGACTCTTCCAATTTCTGAAAACACCTGGCTCTTAGCTGTAAATTGTTTGATTTTCTTCACTAGCTATAGTTTTTTTTATTTTGCCCCTCTGCCATTTGTTGCTGTGCAGGCAGTCTCTGCATGTTGCTGCTGGAAACAATGCTGATGGTTGTAGAGTGCTGAGAGTAAATGTGCCATAGAAACAAAAACAACGGGCTAAAAGAGGCTAAAAAGAAAAGTAGAGAAATAAAGTGGGGAGATAATTGCTGTTGGTTTACAAGTCACACTTCCGCATGATACATTATAATTTTATTCAATGTTAATATCTAGCAAGTACAAAGAGAGTTTGTACAGCCAATTTGTCAGAATGTTCCTATTATTCCTTTTCCTTTGCTTATTACAGTCACAGTCACAGATACATTTAGTTTATTGATTGCTTTCAGGATATAGAGAATTTCAACAAATCCAACAAAAAATTCTATAATAAATTGCCTACCCAGCTTAAAAGACATTTTACTAAAGTAAAAGTACTTGTGTAAAAATGTAATTAAATATCAGTGTAGTGGAACAACGTCATACCACTGAGGGTAATATCCAAACCAAATTTCATTTTTGTAGACAGTACTTTCCAGCCTGTGCAGACAACTGATTGTCAATTCTAAATATGCAATTGTGTTCCTCATTGTAGCCTTAAAATATGCCAAGGTACAAAATTACATATTCTTTAATTTTAATGCATTTGCTGCGCATTTTTGTACTCTTCAATGCTAATAAG